AGCCAGCTCAGGAGAGCTGCTGCTGGCAGAGGTGGCTCCCCACGGCTCCTGCGTGGCTACTGCTGCTAAAGAAAGGTGAGGGGCATCACCAAGACTGTCCTGAGGACCACAGAGAGGGGCCAGACCTGTCCTGCTGGGGGGGACGTGTGGCAGGGGGGAAGGATTCGAGGCTGGGGGGAAGATTGAGGAGTGGGGTTGTGTCAGCACAACCTGGCCAAACGCTCCCCAGGCTGCTGTGCTCCGATAGCTCCTCGGGAGGATTACTCACATCCTGCTAACGGAGCCTGTGCCAGCCCTGGGGGGGCTGGGGGGGCCAGGACCTCACGTTTCCATTTCAGAGCCTTGATGGCAGCACCAGGGGGCCCTCGGCTCTCCCCCTCCCCGTGCCTGGCTCTCCAGCCTCTGCCAGAGATTGGCAGTGGGAAGAAGTGGCTTCCAACCAGGCATGGGGGGCTGGGAAAACCAGGGCTGCAGAGCTGCCCCAGGCACTCGCCCCCCTGCTAAAAATGTTGCCCCACCATTCTGACAGGTCCCTTGAAGTCCTGGCAGGACACCAGGTGGTCTCCCCAGCTGGAGCCTTCTCCTCTCAGGCTGCCCCAGCCCAACTCTCTCCTGCTGGACTCCCAGCAGAGGGGTTCCCCCCTCGGGGCATTGCTGGGGCTCCTCTGGCCCCGCTCCAGCAGGTGCTTCTTGTGTTCAAAATCCAGGGAATGAGGGCAGCTTTGGGTCCCAGACCACAGCACCCCTATGGCCAGGAGGCCGCTGAGCCAGGAGGACCTGCTGAAGCTCTGGCTTGGGGGAAAGCTGTGCAAGGATCAGGGCGAGAACTCTCCGAGGGCTCTGGGACAAGCCGAGACCTGGGGACTCCACTGGGTGAGCCTCCCACTGCCAAGGACTGTGTGGACCTCAGTCCTCTCCTTCAGAGACGAGGTCCTCTCAGAAGGAATGTCACCCCAGCAGAGGCAAGCACATCCCACTCACTCCTCTCCTCCCCAGTGCTCCTTCTGCCCCCCCAGTGCTGCTCTGCAGCCCTCCCATCACCCCTCACAACCCCGGTACCTGAGGACACGTCCACCGGCTCGGCAGGGTGACACAACCCCACCTCCACGCTGTGGAGGCTGCACGTGGGGTGTGTGTGCAAGGGAGCAATGAAATATCAGCCTCAGTCCTGAAATTCAGGCTGCCCCCCCAAAAAAGAGCCGTGTCCCCACTCAGCTGGCACGTGCCAAAACGCCTAGCAGCTCATCTTGCTCGGTTCAGCCAGGGAATGATTAATTGCTCCTGTATTTCCCTGCCTGCCTCTTGGCACTCTCCTGGATGTTGAAGGCTGTCTGGAATATTTTAAACTTGTGGGAGAGTTTGAAACTTGGGCTCTCCGGGTGTTTGGCTGCTTGGGGTTGAAAGGAATTCATGACTGGGGTGACAAACGATCTCCTGCGTCCGGTGTCGCTGTGGCATGTGTGACTGACAGGGGAGCAGAGAGGGAACATCAATTAAAACGTGGCACTGGGGGACCCGAGAGCCCCGAGCCTTCGGCAGCCACATCAGGAGCTGCTTATTCAGACGGAGGAGACAGGGAGAGGAGAGGGAATTCAGCCCCGGCTCAGTGGCACGCGGTTCCCAGGTCGCTCCTCAGGATGTAAGCGTGGGGAAGCTGCCAGGTTTGCATTTTAGACTGCTCTGTGACAGGGGGATGGTCCCTGGGACCTGTCCCTGGGTCAGGCCTGGGTGGGAGGAGGAGGTTTCTCCACACCAGGGTCTCCTGCTGGGAAAGCTGAAGGGCTCCTGGCCGACTCGCTCCCCTTATCTCTCCCTACAACAGGCAAGGGCTGGATCCAGAGCCCTGCGTGCCCTTGAGTCTGTCGGGGAGGTGTCAGCCACGGCTGATTCCTCCAGAGCCTGTCTGCAGAGCCAACAGCCAGGGCAGAGCCTGTCACTGGGGCCTTGCCTCTGCCCCACTGCCAGCCCCCTGCTGCCCGTGCCCAGCTCCCAGCTCGAACCCTAACGTGGAGCTCCCGTCCTGCCCCCGGGCCGTGCCAAGGCCATGCTGGGGCTCTGCCAGAGCCCATGGCTGTTAGGCTGGGTGTTGGAGCAGACTTGTTAGGCTGGGCACCGTGCCCAGGGCTGGCTCAGCTGAGCTGCAGCTGCAGTCAGGCTGGCTGAGGGCTTGGACAAATGAGCAGCCCTGCCAGGCCACCACCAGCAGCCCTCCATGGCCACCACCAGCAGCCCTCCATGGCCACCACCAGCATCCTTGCCTGGCCACCACCAGCATCCCTGCCTGGCCACTACCAGCATCCTTGCCTGGCCACCACCAGCATCCTTGCCTGGCCACCACCAGCATCCCTGCCTGGCCACTACCAGCATCCTTGCCTGGCCACCACCAGCCTCCCTGCCTGGCCACCA